TAGGGTAGGTTAGGTTAGGTTATCGGGTTTTGTTCAAGTGACCACCCTCTTTCGATCCCCCACCTCCACCCGCTTGAAAATAATTTTTTTATTGAATTTTATTTGAATTATAGTGTATGAAAATTGTCAAAATAATCAACATTCAACCCCGATAACCTCTTATGGGGGTGAGACCGCCGCAGGCGGCAATCGATACCAGGAGCGCCGACAGAAATATTCAGAAATCGTAGCAATATAAATAAGTGAGCAGCATCACACGGGATATAATTGATACATGACAGCTGTTATTAAGAAATGTGCGAACGAGAAGTCGAAACAGTACGTCAAATATTAAGTGATATAAATTAAAGGGAAATTTGCACTATGATATAGGATATTATAGTAAATATTATAAGATGTTTTGGGATAGAAGTAAAAACTTCGGAATAACTCTTTAACAATGTCTTAGTTAGTTTGCTTGTAATTTTATAAGTTAATTTACTCTGTAATGAAGTGGCCCACTCTCTCTAGCGAAACAATGCGCCATTATTCCGACGCAAAACAATGTTTATTACGTGCCTTTCTTTTGTTTTATTGTAAGTATCGTTGCGGCTCTTGTTTACCGTCCCGTTATTGTACCGGATGTTCTTTTCAAGACTGCGTCAGTTAGTGTTAACTTGACTTTCTTACAGGTACGTATGGATTGCAACAAAAGAAAATTTTTTTGTGGTTAAAACAGAAAACATTCCTTATTCGCGAAATAGAACAAGGGGAAAACAAGAGTGATGTTGGACGACGGACTACTCCTTCGACTGGAGAAGATGTTGCAAGCAGAATTCCAGGGTTCTTTCTGCAAAAAGCTGAGAAAGCCAAAATTCGAAGATTTGGATCGAACTATGGCACAATGGATTCGGACACAACATCTGCACAATGTGCCCATCACCGGTCCCATTTTAAAGTCGACAGCTAAAAAATTCGCTAAACAGCTTGGTATTACAGACTTTAAAGCTTCAGAAGGATGGCTGGGAAAGTTCAAGCATTGTCACGAGATTCACAATGGCCAAACGAGTGTAAAAGCTCCAAGTGTCAATAAAGAAATAACTCTGGAAGTAGTAAAAAAAGAAGAGGTAGAACAACACGACCACATACGGGAGGACCAACAACCTTTGGAGTCAGCAGTGCCCACCATTCAAGAAGCTTTAGACGCGGCGAAATCGCTAGAAAAATTCTTTCTACATCACGAAGATGATCCCAGCGGGCTTTAAGACGTATCAAGAGTGCTTGGTAGAGTACAAACTATATATTGGCATAACAAAAGGATGCCTAAAAGTATTGGCTAGCAAAATTTATAACTCGAATGAGGGAAAAATTTACATAGGAACTGTGCACGCAAATTGTAAAATTGTTTATTAAAATAATAAAACACGTTAAANTTGTAAGTGTTTTTAATGAAGTTTATAACTGAACGTCGTTTTAACAGGAATAATCTTCAACTGTCAATTATTAATATGTAACAATGATTTTGGAATTCTCGTTCAAAGCTCCTTACACCATTATTAAAATACAATAAAAAATAATCGTAATTAAACTAGGCAAGATGCCTACTTAGATTTAATTATGTATAAACATCTATGAAATTTATCTAAATATAAACTCTGACTAACTGAAACTGAAATTAAATTATAAAACTGTAAGTAGGTACGTTATCAGTGAAGATAGCCGTAAAATGTTTAAATAAACATGATAAAAGAATTTTAAGAGATTTAAAAAAACATTAGTACCTACATAGGTGTGTTAATATAAGAAAATAAAATACCGACATATGTAGATTTTAAATACTTATAATTTGTATATACGATCAAAAATAAGTATCAACGATTGCATTAAAAAAATGTAATTTCGATTCTTTAAACAGTTACAAGCTACAAGAGACTAGTTAGAAATATTGATTATCTAAGTACTCAAATTGGCTGTATACCGAGCGGCAATCCTATTGATAAACAACGATCACTTAATTGAATTACCAAGCAAATTAATAAACAGGAAATTTAATTTCATTACTTTCAAAAAGATGTACGAAATTAGTTACTTAATAACACAGGTAACAACGTTGAATTATCTATTACAGTAATGGAGAAGTGCAAATAAATTGGCTATTGTCCACGTTTCTTTAGTAAAAACGCCGGTAAAAAATGCGGTTAGAAAATATATTATTTTCTTATGGAATATCCACCGATTCATTAAACAATACCTGCAACTCCATTCAAGGAACCATTGCAAAATAGGAAGGTTACGATAAATCAATTTTCATGTTAAGTAACGATTATTTTACAATAATAAACTTACCCATTGTGAATGGAAGGGATTCCAAGATGCCTTTTGAATGAGTTACATAATACCACACACTTAATTTAATACATTATGCCGTTATTTATGGCGAAATGTAGCCGATTTCGCCTGAATTTGGTTAAAATTACAACACGTCAAAACAGATAAAATGGGCGAGCCCTATCGTACTTTTGAATTTCGGTGAAAGAAGGCGCTGACGCATTTTGGTAGTATACCAGTGGCGTAACTTTAAAACCACTAAATAAGGCAACTATTTACAGCAGATACAATAAAATGGAACATTACAAAATTATTTTGATTAAAATATAATTGTCAAACAAATTGCAAAAATTATTTCATAGCCTGGTGATACTAAAAAGATTAAAAAAAAACTTCATTACTATTAACCACAATAATTATTAGTGAATTTATCAAATAAAATTTTTATAATCCACTTAAAAAGTATATTATCGATGATGGGTGATGTGAAAGCACATTTTTAATGATTTAAGAGAATATGACATAGAGAACATTGATTAATGTTTTCAATGGGAAAATCATACGAACGTTCGAATTATCCCGTTGTTCAAAACATCTCAATCTTCCAAATATAGAGTAGTCTAAGCACCATAATCTAAAATTTTAAACTGTCGACGTACAAAGAAAATGTTTTTCTCCATGGATTAGTTTATGCGACTAGCATATGTAAAAGCTACATCGTGGATTCAGTTGGACTTGGACATGAAATAAGACCTAAGTCCCCTTGTCATGCAAATGAAATACTTCAGTTACCAACAGAAATTCAATTTACTACGATAAGTAGATAATTATCATATTTTTTAATTTCTAAATTACATATTTTGGTTAAGAATTAANTCAGCCCGTTGATTCAAAAAAATAAATAAATAAATTTCATAACTTTATGTAGGGGTTTTTACTTCTAAAGACTGCAACATTTTTTGGTTTCAAATTTGAACTTTACTGTTTTCATTAATTTCATTCTTCATAAAGGCTCGTGTTCATAAATTTTTAAAATGAAAAATTTGTTTGTTAGATTTGGGTGTTGAATGTATAGTACTTTTGCGTACTATATATTTTTTCAACAGTACCTATATAAAACGCGGACCTGGAATATAGTACAATACCCTATAGAAAACTCTCTACAAAGCAACTAAACACTTATAAAAGCACCAAATAGCCTCACTTGTAATATGCAAGTAAAGCAAAATTTTTACCGAATATAGACATGACGCATTCAATAGAAAATGCATAATTGTGTGAACGTATAGAATCCCGTCTATCTGAAAATATTTCTTGCTTCTCTGAAACTGTTCTAAACTAACTGAACTCTGAAAATCTTTTGAACAAAGCGTAATACGTTTCAGTAGCTTTAAATTGCTTTTATTAAACATATGCATATTCCTTTGTTATTTGTATGAAAAGATGGCTGATGGCTTTGCACGAATTTTCCCATACCACGTTGTATTTTTCGAAAGATAATGCCACTCTTTGATAATTACATATAATAAAATATCCTTACTAGTGTATAAGTGACCAAGATAGGTAGGGAGGAGGGAGGGGCGGCACAAAGTAAAGTGGCTTGTTCTTAAGAAAGGTATAAATCAGGCACTGCATTAATAAATTAATTGTAGCAGGGAAAATTGAAAAATGTATCGGTAAAGGTTTAGATGATGGCTCCCACCCCAAAGGGGGTGGGGGGATCAAAAGAGGAGGTCCCCCCACCACTGTACCATAAAAAATTCGTAGCGATCTCACCCCCATAAAAAGTTATGGGGGTTCAAAGTTAATAAATATGCCAATTTTTATACATTTCTAGGCATGTAAATATTTATATACCTACCTAGTCATTCTTAAACAATATTCAAAGGTAAAACTAATGAAAAATACATAAAAATATTGAGAAATTTATATAAAACACTATCTAAATATCCTTATCAATAGGGTAGGTTAGGTTAGGTTATCGGGTTTTGTTCAAGTGACCACCCTCTTTCGATCCCCCATCTCGACCCGTTTGAAAATAATTTTTTTATTGAATTTTATTTGAATTATAGTGTATGAAAATTGTCAAAATAATCAACTTTCAACCCCCATAACATATTATGGGGGTGAGACCGCAGCAATTTTTTTTTGGGGTTTACTAAGGTGACCACCCTCTTTCGATCCTCCCTACCCTCACCCCCATCTAACCCCCATAACTTTTTATGGGGGTGAGACCGCCACGAACTTTTTATGGTGCAGTGGTGGGGGAGACCTCATCATTCGATCCGACCCACGAAGGGGGTGGGGACCATNTTTAAAATAAAACATCCATATCGAGAAATACTGCTTGAATTTGGCATATCTTTACCACATATTATAATACTCATTAGTCTCAAAATTTCAATTACAAGTATGTTTCCTAATATTTAAATTCAGATAATATCGTAATTTTTTGTATAAAAATGTTGTAAAACATTACTAAAGCTCAACAAGAAAATGAAGAGAGAATGAAAGATAACAGTAAGATAATATACAGGGTGTCATGACCAACATAGATATACTATTGTGTACACACAAGTTCAATTTAGTGTGATGTTTTGAATTACAAAATTAAGAGAATTACGTCACCATGATTTTTTTTTTAATATTTTTAGTATTCAAATTTTTTGTGTCGTACATAGAGAGTGGATTATAAAAGCTCAAAGTTAAAATTTAAACGAATATTATTTTTCCCAATTGGAGCATTACGGTTTAATTTTTATTGCACGATAGCGTACTTTTAATTGCTTAATAAAATTAGGCCTTGTTATCATTTTTTTAAACACTTTCCCCATATTTTCGACCAAAATATAAAAAAAAGCATTAAGTAAACCGCGTTCAAATTTATTAAAATTAATTTAAAAATGATTGGTGAAAAGCTTTTGTCTAAAAAAAACCTACATTATAGTCGAAAAGCACAGGAAAAAGGTAACAAAAATATAGCAAGAAACCAACCATTATAGCAGGTTGTAGCAATCATCTTCATGCATTGAGGAAGTCAATCAGACCTTGCAAAAGGAATATACTTTTATAATAATGAGCGTAAATATGAACTCATGTGAATCTAAAGATTTGTGTTCCCAAAAACATCACCATCTATGACTCATAGGCAAATATGTAATATAAGTCACCCTGTATACAAAATATTTTACATTAACCAACGACATGCAGGAAAAGATTATACATAAAACTGTAACAAGTACTGACAGTATCATATCACTTGTGTACACCAATTCATTGTTAGAATAACCCACCCAACAAAATTATCTCTTGAGAATATCGTAAGTAATTACTTGCATAAGTGGAACTTACGAAAAAGCAAAAAGACAACGTTCAACAAGAAAAGCGACCGATATCTAAATGAAACCTAAAAAGGAGCTCCACAACAACAACCCTTTAAAAAGACGAATATTACCAGGCAATTTTGTACTCGCAATAGATCCATTCCATCGTGAAATAAAGTGCTACTATTTAATTAAAAATTGATGTTTTTCGTGCTGATCGATGAATCGTATCGACGGTAGAAATTTAATCTGCTGGACGTTTCGTCTCCAACTGTTAGACATTTCAGTGGATTGGTGACAACGTAGCATATAATTGCAGTATTATAGTCACACAATCCACTGAAGATGGCTATCACAGACGCAGACAAAACGTCTGGCAGAATTGATTTGTACTTTTGATAATGATGTATTTGACCAGAAAACATCAATTCTTTATTAATTGGCCGTGGAAGCCTAAGCTCTACGCTACTATTTAATATGTCTGCCTGTCGATCTATAATCAGTATGAACGAACAACCAACCAACAAAAAAGAAAAACAAAATACAGCATGTGCACGTGTACAGGTGCCACCGGTAAGGACAACCACGGATTTCTATTACACCAAAAAGTAAAACAAGAACAAAAAAATATCATCTGCACATTGACTAATATCTATTACATTATAGTATTTTACTATGATTGATTGAAATGTGAGAAATAACAAACTGGAGATTTCTTTTCAATTTTAAAATAATGTTTTAGAATTTGTCAGGGCCAATTTACCGGTTTGCAATTCTATCGTTATAATAGTTATTATTATTTATTAGGATTTGTTACGGTATTCAAAAAAAGTTGTGTTTAGTATTTATAAAGGAGGTTCTTTCTCTCTAAGTGTTTTTGTTAATGTATAATTAATTTCAATTCACTTTCGTAGAGCACGACTTTCACCTTTGCTATTCGTCGTCAGTGTCCCCATCACTTGAAAAATCTTGGATGGGAATACGTCTGGAGAATGGGGCTAAAGTCATTTGCCTATAAAAACAATTATATCAATAATGAAATATCGTAAAGTGCTGCCCACTTAAGCATAATGGAAATTAAAAATTTGCCAATATATACCAATTAATTTCAATTAAAGAGAAAGTTTTATTTATTTTACAGATCGTCCAATTTTTTTTCGTATTTACTTATTGTTTCACGTGAACAACATTTTTCCTACTAAATGTAATTTTGAATGTACAAAATCAAAAAAAATGTAACAGAAATATGTAATCAATACGATTAAAGTGGGAAGTTGATAAATTAATTGGATATGCTTTTTTAATTAATTACCGTGTAAAATTAGCACGAAAAATTAGGTACTGTTGTAATTAGTTAGTTTACAAGTTAGTTGGTTATTTATCGGACTGTTACATAACTTAAGCAAGCTTCAACTTTGGTTATAACAATAAAATATTATGACAAACCCTTACGTTAATACAAAAATATCATGGATGTAATTCTGTTCGCATGTAGTGCATAATGTATGAATCTGGGATGCGACTCCTTTTTTTTATGCCATGAGCACCAATTGTAAATTATTAAAAAAACACCAGAAAAGCAATTGTAAATGTTAGTAACATTTTTCAATTTTAAGATCAGTAGCATGCTTATGTAGACAAATCCTTTTTTTGTTTAAATCTTTTGTTAATTAATGAAGATGTGTTGTTAAAAAAAATCCTACTGGTAAAACTTGTTTCATGTTAACGTTTATTAACAGTTTAATTCATCAATAACAATAACATTAGACAGCCAAAGTAATAAATGGCTTTTCCATTATCACTAGTCAAAGTTTTAAAATATTGTAAATTAGTTCTGAAACTTTTATTGGAATGACTGAAGGATTAGAATAATTTAGTANTACATTGGAAATTTTATTAAATTATTATGTCTAATGATTCCAAAACGATTTTATTATGAATATTACCTATGATACTACGTTACTAGAAGTGAGAAACAAGAATCTTTTTAATGTTTTCGTTATTCGTGGGACACCCGGTAGGAACGAAGTTTCTTACGTTATTCGACAAATATTAAGTATAAATTTTAGTCTGAGCATTTAGAAAAAAAAAAAAAATCGACATACATCTAACACATGCATTTCCTAAGCGCTATGTAATTGTAGGAGTACTGGTTGCTACTAATAGATCAGCTTTCGAAGCTTTTAAAAAGGAATCCTGTAGGATATATCTATTTACCAGACGGCAGATTAATTAAATCTGCTTCCTCTGCGAGCAGTAAGTACAAGGGAGAGAGATGTCCACTAATACATTCGATTTTTGGCTAGCTTGCTAAATCTAGAAAAATATTCCTAGACCTAGCGATTTAGAGTCCGCTTAGTACAGTGATTTAGAGCCTGGGGGTAATTACCCCCGCGGGGGTAAATCAATTATTCTGTGGGGGTAACAAAGAACCTAATAATTGAGATCTAATCTGATAAAATACGTAGCTAGATGGTAAAAATATAAAATTACAGATGTGTCGATGTTTATACAACTGTATGCACAATTGGTAAATATTGAACCAAACAAGATCACATTTGAAAATTCTGTGGTTAGGCATTTATCTGCAACAATAAACTCACTGAAGCAATATTTTCCGGATACGGATAATTGTTAGTCCAGTTCTTGGATATTAAGACCATTTACTACGGATGATATTATAGATGAATACCTGGCGGCCAAAGTGGGATATCTTGGACTATGCCAGAATACTTCTTGCAGAGTAGAATTTCAAAATTATGATCTTTTGGCACATTTTGGCGAAAAGCTGCTGACGGATATCCTGCTCTAGCTAACAGAGCTTCAAAAATGCCAATACCCTTTGCCACCACCTATAGATGTGAGAGTGGATTTTCAACTGTGGTTACACTGAAGACAAAGACCAGAATCCTTCTAAATGTGGAACATGACTTGGGATATGCTTTAAGCGAAATTACAGCTAACATAAAAAAACTAAATGCAAAATAATGTCAACCATTNTTTTAATTTATGTTCCATTATGAATAAAGCTGAATCTTGTTTTGAAAAATTTTAGGAAAATCCACTGTCAGTCTATAAAGTAAGAAAGTATGAACAGGTAACTTCTAATAATTTGGGGAAATTAAAGGTTAACGAAACTATACAGTTATTAAAATTTTTGGCAATCATTAATTACATTATGTGTATTACAAGCGATATTATACAAATTTTACATTGTTACCCTTTCAAAATGTAACTGAAACAGAGATGTACTTAAATGCATTGTCACATTTGGTCCCACAATTTTCATCGCAATTTCTTTATATTAATATTAATATATTCCAGTGATGAATTTTCTAAGTGAAACATATTATATGTATAAATTAAGAAAAGTGACACCTGGCTGATTTCTAATAGAGCAATAGATTAGAAACTTTTGCGATAATTAATTTTCATTCTGTTTTTCCAAATGCACCTATTAAGGATACTTACTTGTAATTAAAGAAAAAAAAAAGAAACTTACGCAAGCCTTCTATAATGATTCAGCCATTCTTCCACCATCTGTCCTACGAGCAAAGGTCGCTTGTGCAAGAATTGCTGTGCTACTAACACTCCTCCTTCTGTTTCACATACATCCAGCCATTGTCTGAGAATATTTTCTTCTCTACCCAACTAAAAATAAATAAAAAAATAAAATACATATTTGCATAAAATTAAAGGCAAAAACAATTTTTGCAATACAAACGAGAATGTGTGGAACTCAGTAGATACAACAGAAGCGAAACTTGTAGTATCGAGATTGGATATTTTCGTAAGCCCGAGCTTATCCAATTTACGTCAATTTCTTTCTATTACTATTTTTATCGTTCTTTCTAAGTAGGAATAAATTACCGTTGGGTTCATACTGTCACTGTATAATTTACACTGTTTGAGAGGGGGTAAATAATTCATAGTGCGAATTGACCTGTAGGCGTGGTTTAAAAAGCAAATACCAGAAAAATTTTCTATTCCATTAGAACAATTCCGACATTTTGGTCGATAATTAAAAATAACATTAAAATCTTTACTAGCGGCTTTACTTTAACAACCTATTACTCCACAACAAATACTTTAACGTGCTGGAAATATTGCAGCCGCCATTTTTTCTATTATTTCTCAATAATTACATTATTAAAATTAAATATCAATGCAAACACTATAATATAACTTTCCAACAGGGGCTGGAAAGGAACTTTCACTTAACTATCACTCACCTCTGACTCAGTCAAAAAATGAATTGGTAACAACTTCCTGTCTCTATCCATTAACGGCAAAAAAATACTTTGTAGTTCGTCTTGATGGTTTGACTGTGGACGATCTAAACGACTGCTGTATGGCTCCAATGGTACGAGTGCGGAAAAATGTCCCCTAGTATATCCCAACGCTATGGGAGTTTTAACGCAGAAACTCTGCTCCCAAAGTAACGGCAAATAAACCCCTGAAAACAATAACAAAATTGAGCAAATAATTCGATAATTTGAACTAGAAATGCATAATTTTATAATTTAAATATGAATATTCCATAATTTAAAAATATTTTACACAAATAAAAATTAATTATAAAAAATATTTTAGGTAGAATATTTAAAAAGGCGAAGGAAATGAAAACAAAAGTCACCTTCGAATCTTGCGTAACCTAACGCTTCGCCCCTAAAACTTTTGACGTATTTAACCCCATAAACAACGATAGGTCTTCTGAGGATGTGAGCAAGTGCGAAAATGTGTAGTTGTTCTAAACTGTTGCCGGGCTGGCTAGCTAAAGATATCAAACTCGTCCAATCTTCTTCCCATTGCGTTTCGTCGAGAGAGAAGTGTAGTAACGACGCCTGATTCGATTCGTATTCTTTCCAACGAGGATAGAAGCTGTTCATTAAAAAGAAAAAAACATGCATAGTGTGTTTCCCAATTAACTGAGCAAAATTAATAATTAGATATATACTTCATATAAACCAAACATTTTTTTCTATAAACCAACCAAATAAAATCTTTCCAGGAATAACATGCATATGTAAATTTTTTATTCGTTATGTTTTTAACCTATAAAAAAGTTGAAAAATAAAAACTGATATACATATAAGTTTTCTATCTATAAAAAAGAACATTATTATTAATTATTGGTCTAACATATAATTTCAAAAATTTGCAATTATTCAATTATTTATTAGACAATTATTATTAAATTGTTCTTAAAATCGGACCACTAACAATTACGATATAAAAACATAATAAAAACCGTAAATAAACTAAAAGAGACTCACCCTAATTACCATTAAAACTTTTCACTGCAGACACATTTCTCGCCTACTTCTAATGTTGGCTCGACCAGTCTCTTTTAGTTTATTTACTCCATTACCACAGTCTCCATTAATAAAAACCGATTTCAAAATCATTCTAAAATCATTCTTTGGTTTTTTTATTTCTTTACTACAGTCTCCAATATCTACATTTAATTTTTTATAAAAATCGATTTCAAAGTCACTTTAAAGTCATTTTATATAACTCTGACTGTTTATCTGAAGCTTAGAACGAGTAAATATTGAAGTATGGAAAAAAAATTTAATCCAAAAAAATCAGTCAGTCTGTAGAGAGAATAAGCAAAATAAAATGTATGCCCATTTGACGGATCCCAATATTGCCAGTTTTGATATCCTTTACTGTAGATAATATTGTGGTGTCTACACAATTTTTTACAATCAATCTATTTCTGCTACAAAATTTTCTTTACATGTTAATCAACAAATGGTATCAGGAATAACTGGTGCGTGAAGGAAAAAGAAATGCTACTTAACAAATCAGTCAACTGTAATAAATCGTTAAATAAAAATGATTGAGAGGAGAAATGTAGATGCATTTATATTCTCTTTGTGAGTTCTTTTTTATCAAGTGACAGCTTTCAAGAAGGAAGTGCCGTTAGAAACGTGAATTTTATTCGCGTTATTAAATGTGTAGATAGTCAACCCACTTCAGATGAAAGTGAAGCTGAACTAAACGGGAATTTTCACATTGCAACAACACACGTAACAGCAAGTGCTTACAAAACATGCAAAAAGTGGCTATGCATGTATCTGATACATTCCAAGCGTGATACACGCTAAAATAACGTAAAAACCGGTTAGGGACGTCAACAATACGTAATAATGTATATCATATTATTATTTGCACTTGAAAAGACTATAAGGCGCACTNACTCCTTCTTTTGAATTATAAAAGTACTTAATAATAAAATTAATTATTTTTTTACGTTTACTTAAACTCAATGTTTTGCTACTTACAGATGACCTGCTTGACCTAACGTTTCAGCCAGCGCCCTCCTCAACGTATTATCACGATCGAAAACGCCCCATGTGGCCTGCATCACAGAATCAAGAAGACAGTCTCCCGCGGACCGATTCCATAAAGCGTACAATCGCGATCCCAGTCTAACAGTAATCTCCAAAGACCAATTAATGACAGCCGGTTCACTCTCGAGTTGCTCTTGCGCATCTTTGTCCAAGAGCTCGGTAAACAGCTGTTCTTGAACAGCTGCCGGTAACTCGTCCACTTCTACAAAATATGAACACTGTTATAGATATTTGTAAATGGCATGATTGTATCCTAACAAATTGTTATGAACAAATACCGAATACCACAGTCGATACCGGCGACGCCTTTTGTAAGAGAACTAAATTATGCAGCGAACAGTCTGCACGACAAAAGCAACTTAAAAATTTTTGCAATAATCTGGAACATTACAATATAGTCTAAGTAAAGGGACCAGCATCCGCCAGGATATACTCGATAATTGATAAAAAACAGTGTGTGAACGAAATAAATGCATACTGATATGAATCCATAGTGATATAAACAACCGACTGTTAGATAAAGTGCTTGTGTGTTAAACAAATTATTCATATATTCACTAGGCTTATTTTAATTAGGAAATTCGCTGCAATATTGCACGTTAGAATTTTAAAATTAATTTTCTCAATCAAGGCTACCCTAGATTTTAGATTTATTATACTTACCAGCAGGTAAAGCAAACGTGGGAAGTTCGGTAACGAAATTGCATGGAAAACTGCCTTTTCTCTGTCTTATGGTGCTAGCAAAGTGACGTCTTATGTCAGCCGCTAAATCGGGTGCGACATAACTAGGCACCCGTTTAACTCCTGAACCCGAGCCTTCTATTTGAGACAAAAGAATTGCCAATAAGTCTTCCCTTTGAAATCTAAAAAGAATCTTTTGTTATCTTCTCTAAAAAAAGTGTTTAAACTTAAAATACAAAAAAAACTAGTAAAACATATTTCGATAATTCTATTACTTTTCCTAAAACTTTGATAAACCTAAATATATGATAACTTTCTATGTGGCAATCATACTCTCGTCTTTGGTTTTATAAGATTAGTGACTTAGTTCTTGAATCCTTAAACTGATTATTTTCCAAAAAGAAAAGTAAAGTAGGAATGCTATAGGTTGTAGTTTGTGCATGTAGTTAATGTATAAATTATAATGTTACTGGATCAAACAATAAATATGCAGATGTATAAGTTAACGTTCGAATCAAGTTTAAAAAATAAATATTGAAGCTAACTCATTAAAATACTTCAATAACTAACATCTGATTGCAATAATAATCACCAGTATTATTCGTTTTCGTTAAAATGACTTTATACGTATTAACTAATTAAAATTATATTAAAAAATGAGTCGACGAAACATTATCTAATTTAGTGATTTCATTTCAACTGATTTTACCTTTTTTGTATCTATTTCCCTACTTCTTTTCAGTTATAAATCTACTTATTAATAGTTAATTGTATAAAAAAACTTTTGCGCGTTTTATTCCTACCAACTAGTAATAGTAGTGACCTACATTCTAAGTCCTTTTTTAGGAACAGTGAGAATGAGTGGGTAATGGCTGAAGAATAATCGACAGGATTGACGAAATAACTGTCCTAAAATTTGCCTATATGATCCAAGGAAATCGCAGAAAAACTCGGACCAGGACAGGCGGACTTGGAATTAAACCGGTGACTTAATATGTTAAGCTATGATCTGAATATGAACAATATACATAAATGTATTCATTTGTTACCTAATTGCTAAATGAACTAAAGTGTGTCCAACATCGTAGGCGGACGCTCTGTTTAATATCGCGACTTCGGAAGAAGTAAGGGTGCGTGTAGGATCTCCGCCGGAGGACAAGTACGCTTCTACAGGACTAGGGTCACCTTCAATAATGCCCTTGCATGCATTCAGCCATTTCCAATCAGTCTGCCGCCGCAAATGTCTCATCTTGCGGTCGTTTTCGAAATTATTCGGATTTTGCGAAAGTGATGAATCTGGAATAAAAATCTAAATAAAAAATACACAATGGAATTCCCTCTAAAATTTTTTTTATCTTTAATATATTCCCCATTATAAACTATTGAAAAAGTTACAGTAGCATTTTGTGTAAAATTTCTAGATAGAATGAGACTGAAATTAATCTGATTTTCTATTCACAAAAGATAAAAACAACAATGCACATGTACTGCATAGATTTTTGAGTTTTAAATTAAATAAGAAACATTGAAAAAGGCTAAACCAATCTTACCTATAATATTCGTACTGCTATATTTTCTTTCATCTTGATTAATTATATTAGTATCTACTTCATTTTCCGGTGACGGATTACAAAGACTAGATGACTGAGACCTTTGTGAATTACTGGGGGCATAAAAACACATAGCGCACTTCAAAGACTTAGGCCAATTTTCGTAAGTACATATCTAAAAATATTTCATCATTTTAATTTATACAATACTGATAAATTATTGCCATTTTCATATTTTAAGTTTTATGACAAAATAAATTTAAAAACACCACAAACAATAAATTGCTCTAAATAAAACACTAAATCCCAAAAATCTATAAAAATGTTGAGCAATCTTAAACCGCATTTCAACACCTGACGTATCATCTTTGACAAAAATTGGTACATATTTATTAGGAGGTGACAAGCACACAATGCATTTAAGATATAAGAACAATTACAATTAAAATACTGATGAAACAATTACAATATTGTTGGTGTAATGCATTAACAAATAGTCAAAGTACATGCCTAAATATTTTTTTAATTTCTTATAATACTGTCTAACATAAAAGTATCTAGTAACTTGAACAGTTGAAAACAATTCAATAAAAAAAAGACTTTTTTATTTTTAAATTTGCTTTAAATTCTATCAGTTACTGGCAGTGGTATGTTTATGAAGTCATATTTTAAATATAACTAAGTTGTTGACTACAATTACTTCTTTTTAAGAAACAAACAATTAGATAATAACCTTAGTGGCAATACATTTTTTTGTGTACACAAATACACTATTCTACTAATTACAAACTGTACTTACAGGGCAACTCCATTTTTGTTGAGATGAAGATTTACTATTCTCTGTACTAGTAATAATAGGAGGACTATTAATACGAGATTGAGACAAACTCTGTGCACCATCGACATTTTGTATAATGTTAGACTGATCTGATGAGGGAGCAGGCATTCTGCATTGTATGCAAACATTATCTTTAGAATGGTTTAAAAATGTGCAGGTTTCACAAGACCAGTTATCTCTTGATTTATTTTCACATGGACCAGCTGCTAAACTGGACAAATTACTACTGGGTACAGATTTCTCATCATTATCATGCAAACGATAAATATCTTCACTGATGAAAGGCTTTGGACCACGGCACATGGTGCACTTAATTGAAGAAGGGAAGTTTTCATATGTACAATATTCACAAACCCATTTTTGTTCTGATGTATTACTCATTTTAATAGGTATTGGTAGACAAATCAATCAGTAGTGAAGGTCCTGAGATTATCAGCAACATACATACATGTATGATGGGAAATGAGTTTGTTGTCAAGATTTAAGCATGATTAGTATTTTTCGAAAATGATGATTCTTTTTATTGGAAAATTTATGGGCTCCTATACAAGTGCAGATTCATATCTAAAACAAAAAGGTTATTTATAGCAAAATAATGGCTGATTGCGATCTTAAGGTTACGAATAATTATAGCGCCAAAAATGTTAATTCTGGCATCATTCTACCTCTTGGCAATGCAAACACTTTGAGCAATGCCAATGTCAAAATGGACCATAAACACAAATATAAACAAACTAAAAATTTCTTTTATTTAATACGGAGAAAACCTAACCTACTTTTTATTTCGTTTATTATTTGTTTTATTTATTAGTGTGTGAACCAGAAAGTACTATGGTGTTATCATAGAGACACTTTTCAAGATAGAAATCTAAATAATTGTTCTAAAATATCTTACCTTTTACTGATTTTAATTAGGGTAATAATTCAATACCGTTATAAAGGCACGGCGAATAATGTCAATTGTAGAAATTATTAACACGTACGATTTAGATACCATTGGTAATTGGTAAAAACGATTGTTACTTTTATTAACGCTGCTAACTTTGTGAAAAAAACACACACAACGTCAAAATCAAAATTTTTGACAGGAATTTTTGCGACAGGTACATTACGTCACATCGTATATATTAGCAACAGCGCGGTAGAGCAGTTGCTGAGTTGACCCACTTTCTGCTGGTGAGCAAGTTTTATTTCAATTAGTTTATATTTGTTAATTTAAAAAAGGTGTTTGTTGAATGACCTATAGAGAATCCAAATTGATTTTGTTAATTACATAGACAAATCACTGAAAACAAAATCGTTATTATATAAAACACGGTATGCCCACAAACTGAATTTAAAATTGAGTATGTAGTGTTTGAATATATTTGAACACCCAGTACATATATTTATAAACACAAAACAGTGGCGACTCGCTTCGTGGGTCCGCGTGAGTATTTTATTAGGCTATGATTAGGCCGAAATAAAAGATTGCAGATTTAAGATTTCTGTTAATTTTGGAAACGTTTTATCTGTCTGTGTCTCTATTTAAGACGAATAAAAATGAAATCAGCTCTTTTTTAAATCAGAATCTTATCTGAAACATTGTTTAGTGAAAATAAGAAAAAAGTTATCAATATTAACAAAGCTAATAACAGTCCACATTAAATGTAAAAATGCTCTACTGTTATAATCTTTATACATCCACTAAATTTCACTATAAAAATTTAAATATTGAACATAATAACTCATATCAAAATCGATGCGATTATTAAAGAAAAAGAATATTTGCCATTTTTTGCACTTTTTTCTTGAAAGTAAATTAATTTCTTAAATTTTAGTATTCAGCTCTTTCTGATTTATTTTATCGAAATCTTTTTGTATAGTATACTCTTTCTTTGCCTTGGGTTAAAACTAATTTTGCTGAATTTAAGTTATTGTTTCAATTTTTCATCTATTAATTGATCTAAAATTGCATAATTCTGTATATATACAAAGAAAATTAATAAGTGAAATTAAAGGTTTCATGAAAAATGAAAATCTATTCAATATTTTTTGGAAACCATTTTTTATTTAATTTCATGAACGAAACATTCGATTTTCTCCTGTATGACGTACGACTATGTCACAAGAAAAACTATAAAAATAAACTTGTCTAAGTAAAATTACATTAACAAAACAAATTTACTACATGTACAATTATTAAAAAAAAAATGGCATGAATTAGTTCGATATCATAATTATTATACAAAAACAGACCGGTTGCATCAAAATTTAAAAATAGCATAAACTCGTTTAAAATGCAGCAATAATACACACTTTTTCAAAATACAGACTGTACAAAATGAATACATTCTTACGAAAACTAAAATAATAATAGAATAAAAATAATTCAAAACATTATACATATATCCAATGGCAGACACAACGGTCTTATATAGAACGTTTTGTAACTTATATTACTACAGCTACTAGTATTATTTTTATTAATGTAAAAACAATCAATACGATTAAAACGTTATTAGTTCTGTTGCGCACTTACTTCATACCGTAATCTAGTTCGCTTCCTGATTGGAAGGTCTTTTTCGAGTTCACTTTGATGTTTAAGGAACTTGTCACTTGTCGAATTACTTAAGCTGTTGCGCGTAGTTCGCAAATGTCTCGCAGGAACAGTCGAAGATAACTTCACTTCATTTTGAACACTGATATTGCTTAATATGTTCGAAACACTTACATTACGTTTTTGTTTCACGTTGTCCTCCAATTTGATTTTCTTCGAGGCCCTCATATTTTTTTTCAATTTGACCCGCCGTTTTCTTTTGTTCGATACCGAGGAGGCAGTTTCCGCGTGAGGCAATTCCGTTTCCTCTTCTGTTCCTGTTTCTTCTACTATTTGCGGATTTTGACTTTTTTTCACGGGTGTTGACGTCATAGTATGAACCTCTGCAAAGTCATCTTCAGGTTTCAAATAGACTTTTGTTGAAATTATTTTTTCTTTTGAAGGGTGTTCTTCACAACTATTGTTCTGATTTCTAATATCTTTCAATGGCATTTCCGCTTCTATGACAATATCGTCAGTAGTTGAGGTAATGTCCGTCTCTTTTGTAGTAGTAACCCTCGATTTTCTTCTGGGTGTATTATTTTGAAGAGGCTTTTCTTCTAACGTCCTGGCCTGCAATAAATGGAATTAATAATTATTTTGCTGATTTTTTTTTTTTGAAATTTAACAGTATCCTTTTGAGAACGCAATCATTTCATAAAAAACCTTGTGGTATTGTTTATTAAAGATTTAAATAATATTGTAATAGAATGATATAATTATGCAAATTAAATTTAATTATTAATCACCAGATCAAGGTAAATAAATTTTTCCCTTTTAAACATTTTGTACTCCTTTTATAGTTGTTCAGACCCATTCATTTAGTATGTAAGCGATTTTGTCAGAGTTTAACATTTCTTGCAACTAAAGAAGCCAGCGTGCAGCGAGATGACCATTGTGGTTATTAATAAACAGTTTTATAACTTAAATGCTGCAAAATATTGAGTTCCGACAGTATGTTACCATTTACTGATATCTGCTGTTAACGTTGAGTTTGTTCTTGGCGTCTCTTTCAGTTGATGAATAATACATTTGATATATTATTACTGTTATTACCAAGTACATTGCTTTTATTATTGTCATCGTCCGCGTGAAACTATTTCTAATTGTTTATAAGAAATATAGCTAGTACAAGCAATAAACAATTAAAAAAAAGTAGAGCCTATATAACTCTTGACAACCTCGTATTTATGTATGCCTGTACGGTGTCCACATGAACTTAAAAAAGGTAGTTATTCATATAATTAAAATTAATGAAAACTTTGATTACACAAAACGAATAAATATAAATCAACATAATTATAGAGAAAAATTTACAAATAGAAATACGTAAATGCAATTGTTAAAAGGAAATATTTAGTCGTTCAGTTGTTTTTTTTTTTACGAAAAAACGGCTCTCTATTGAATTCTAGGATTTAAAAATAAATTACCGTAAAATAGTGATATTCTATACCGATAAATTAAGTTCCATAATTATATTCGTCTATAAATAGTAAATAGAAAAAAATGTCAGTTTTACTTCTATGAAAAATATTATAAACCTTGGTATCTAATTACATTCTTAATAAAAATTGTGAAATAAAAAAAAAATACCGGATCGTGGTCCGAACAAACAAATCCAAGCATTCTGTCATATCGAACATTTCCTTCAGCATGTGAAGGACAGTAGGAGTTAATACATTTGTAACAGCACCGTATGGTTCTTTTACCACAAATATTGCAATTATGTGATGGGCAAAACCATTTATCTAAAAAAATATGATTTATAGCAATTTCACTCTTCTTTTATCAAGAATTTGTATTTTCATACTTCCTTCTGGCCAATATTGTAGAGAAACGCATTTTAGATGATAAAATTTGTTACAAACTTTGTAACAGCAACCCCGAACTTCCCCTGATTTTTCACAGACAAAACATACATTGTCGTTGATTGTTACAGTTGTTGGTGAAGATATCGTTTTTTTCTTCGACAAACTTTCCTTTTTCTTTGCTTTCTTTGTACTTTCCTATAATAAAAATGAGTAATAAATGATAATGTTTTTGCAATATTTAGTGTACAAACCGGTTTAAATTTAAGTCCAATAAAGCCACTGCACGTTTGAGCGCCACATTTACAAACTTTTTTCTCCTTACCAACACACTCTAAATTATAATTGAACGTTAGTTCTGTATTGGCAGGTATATCTTCTAGTGCAAAAAGACCCACTTTGGTATCACCGTTCACTGTCCATTTCTGTGTTTCACAGTTTGGCTGACAGGAATGATTCATAAATCTTGCCAAGTTACCTAGAATTTTTAAATTTTTTATAATTATAAAATCGAATTTTAATCATTTCTTTATCGAAGTTATTTTAAAAACCAATACACAGGTCATGGTAGATAATCAAAATTAATTAAACAAACCTTAAACGTTTATTAATTCAAATTGTTAAAAATCTACCTACCTTTAGGACCTGCGTCAATTATTCTATCCTTGTCCACCGTTAAAAAATAGTAATTTTCATCTTTAGTTTCGTGCATTCTTTTAATTCTTCTTTGGTATTCGGTGTCGTCTATGAGCTCACCGACGTATTCTATAACAAAGTCTCCCTTTCTAATGGGGGCCAGCGATCTTAGACCCCAACCCCTATTTTCTGTTTTGTACGGTTCCAGGGGAGAATATTGTCGCTTCTCGAATCTCTGATTGTAGCATCGATCTCCCGCTGGACATAATTCAGGATTGCATTCAGTTAAAAGGAGTCGATTAATACAATCACTATCGGGACCACATGGGAATGGTTGCTTTGGATCACATTCGCATGCAGTAGTATTGCTGGTATTCCCGTCATTTTGTTTAACACTTCCTACAGGTTTGTTAACTTTTATTTTAATGTAAGGAGGTGGTTTTAAGCCGTTTTTAACTTCAGATTCTTTTTGAGATTTAAATTCTTTTTTAAGTCGATAAGCAGCTACTGCTTCATCAATAGCTTTATTAAAGAGTTGATCGATTTTTCGCTTCTGATGTGAACGTCCTCCTTGATCCTCTTCTTGAAATAAGAATACTCTACCTCTGTTGACCCAGTAATGGTCGTGAGAACCAAAAAATCGAACGACAAACTCTCCCTCTCGATGGGGAAGGTTATTGACGTTATCGGGTACCTCGTTAGGAAATAATATAATGGCCGGCCACCATCTGAAAGAGCCTAATTTAGCCCACACTATTTCGTCATAAAGTGGAAATCTTCCAGATTCACAATCTTCACAAATAAAAGTGTCGTCGTCCATCAGATTAACCTTAAGGCAATCGGGATGTACACTTGTCGGGCACGTTTCGCAACATATCAAATTGCCCCCTTCCGAACATATAAAGCACCATGTTGTGTTTATCGTTTGCACGTTGTTAGGTAATTTTCCGGAATTTCGTATTCTTTTTCGATGCCGCGGACACAAAATTTGAGAAGAACTTAAAATAATGGTGCCTGCGGGAACGCACATGTTTGAAGTGTGATAAGTCGCAGGACATCGAAGACATTTTACAACTTTGTCGCTCGAGCAGCGGGAAATTGCAGCACGTGGATTATCGGAAACACATGTATGACATACGTGCGAAGGGCATACAAATGATTCAAGTTGTCTGTCAGTCTTTTTCGATTTTGAACTGTTTATGAGAGACCACTGAGTTTGAGGCCATATTTTTAAGCAGTCTAAATGATAAAATTTTCCACATTGATACAAAGAACACTTTATCCTTACAGATACACCTTTTGTTGAGATTTCTAAGCCACATACAAAACATGGAGCACTAATATCTCTCAAGCAAAATGCGCACCTGAAATTATCATCGGCTTCAATTTTTTCTATAGCAGAACTAGAAACCTGGGAGGAACTCTTTAGGTTAGTAACATTTTCATCATTTATTTGTTCATGTTTTTCTTCAGAAATAATCGTTTTATCGGATTTTGGTGTTTCTTCAGATTCTGTAATATCCCCACTACTCAGATCTGTTGTCGAATCGGCATAACTAGTTTTATCTCCAACTTTTCCCATGACCTCTTTCATTTTAAGATCAATCTGTTCAAATAACGACAATCTTCTCGATGTCGCTTCAATGGGCGGCAATTCGTAAATATCGTCATCTGAGTCATCGGAATATACTGAAATTATTTCTACACGATTATCATCGTTCATATTTTCTGCAACCAGAAGTCTTTCGAGAAGATTATTACTATTAAAATGTTCTTCAATCTGCTCTACTTTGATCTCCTTATTTGGATCGAATTCCTCGACATCATTTCCTACGGGTGAATTCATTGTTTTCGTGATAGGATTCATTACTTTAGTTACAGAATTTAACACATCTGCGACACGTGTACTGGAAACAGTTTCACCTTTGTCCGAACAATCATCTTCCATTTTGATGGCATGCTTTTCTTCCAAACAGTCCTCATCCTCTTTTTCTATTTTAATTTTGATGCCTTCATTGTTGTCCAAATTAATAATTCTTGTGCACTGTGGATGATATAAGCCATTGCAAGGACCTTTGCATTTCAAAACACCCTCTGGTTTCTCACAGTAATTACAGACACGTTGTCTACTGACCTTTTTGAACAAATTGTTTCTTTTGTAAAGTTTCACTTGCTCTTCCATTGAATGAGGAATTGCACTTGACGTACTACCTTTTGAGCTTGACTGTGTATCGGAATCTGAATATTCTGACGTTACATCTGATGAAAATCCGTAAATCTTTTTTTCCCTCGGATTTAAATTATTCCAAAGGTCTTGTAGGTGTTTTTCCATGCTCTTTTCGTCCAACTCAGGTTTGCTTTCTTTCAAACCTTTGATATGTTTGGAAACAAAATTATTAAAAGATATCCTTTCTGTGAAGTTCAACTCACGCGATGTTGACTTGTTGGATTTACATTTATGAGGTTTTGGACTCTCCATTTTCTTTAGACTGTCCTCACCAGTAACGTGAGATCGTAAAAGGCGTGGTGGTGATAAGTCAGTTTTGTTCTTTGGTGATTTTGCTGTAACAAATTTTCCTAAATGCTTTTTATGACATTTATTTATTTCTGAGTTAATTTTGTCTTTGATAAATTCTTGAGAAGTATATTCCTCAAGAGTTTCGATTTTACCTGGCAGACTCTTAAATTGATTTGTACCTTTTTTCTCCTTCTTTATTTTCACAATATTGGAAACTGCTAATGCCACTGTCTCAAAGAAATCTAATCTTTGGGAAACCGTTTTAAATTTGAGTGAATCAATTTCTTCTACTGCTTTTTTCCATTTTGGTATAAAATGTTTACTAACTTTATAAAACTGATAAAGTTTCGCTCGTCCTGAACTTTTCTTGAATACAGGCTGTAAAAAGATAAACTTGAAAGTAAAGAACAAAATCTTTTTTACTTCATTATTAATTACCTTCGATTTATTTTTGTTAAATAAAACTTCCAAATCATTTTTTGTTTGATAAGGAAACATATTTCTAAAATTTATCCAAGAGCGTTTTCCTCTATCTCCGAAAAATTTGACATGATAAAATTGTTGAGGGCCTTTCCTAACTAAAAATGACAGCAATATCATTAAAAATGAAGGGAAACAACATTGATTTTGTGTACTTACTTAATGTTCTACTCAAAACTTCAGTGCCTGGTTCTACACATACCATACTGGGCCAAAATGGGCAGGTACCCACTCGAGCCCACACTAAATCTCCCACTTCATATACAGCCTTCTCTGCTGGTTGCATATCATCAACTTCTTCTTTAATATGTAGCGTTTCATTCATATTGGGGAACGTTTTATCAGCATTATGTTTGGGTAGCACTTCTGTGGTTTCATGTAAACTGCTAGTTTCTAAACTGGTATGACTTTGAGTTCCGTTTTTACTTTTTTTCTTTTTACCTAGGTATGGAGTTATTGTTTCATCGATAGTTGAAATGAATGAGGTGCTTGATCTAAGGGTTCTTTTTGAAAATTCTGCTTTGAATATTTCTCTTTTTTCATTTATCAAATTCGAAATTTTTTTATCTACTACAGGTTTATTTACTGAATCTTCCGTTTTTATTGGTTGTTCATACGTACTACTGCTATTAAAATTATATTTTTTATCTTCTTTAGTTTTTAAAGATGCTTTTTTTGGTTTAGAAATTTTTGGAACTTTAATATTTTTAGGTGCAGACAGTTCTCCTATTCTAAATTTATTTACAGAATTTTTCCTTCTTGCTTTTTGTTCCTTTGGAGGAGAATACGTGTGAGTAATCTGCTCAATTTCTTTTAACAGATCATCTTCCATTATAACAGGTTTTTCGCTAGGACTCTGTTTAGGTGATGTACTTTGAGAATTGTTACTTAATGTAGAGCTTCTCTTAATAGGACTTCTTCTTAATGGTAAATTATTTTTGAATCCTTTTTTTTTATTTTCTTCAATTGCACTTACCTCTATTAATTTCGACATTTTTAATCTTTGTTGATCAGAATTAATTGTTACATCATTTGGAGTTTCATTAGAAACTTCAATTTTCTCATCAATCTTGAACTGTTTGCCCTCTTTGGCATTTCTTTTTTCTTTTTTAACAAAACCATCATTTACTATAACTTCAGATGTTTTTTTTTTATTTATAGTAATATGGCTGTTTAATTCTTCTGGATCTAAAATTGAACTCTTAGAATTTTTTGTTACAACTTTTTTTAATTTTTTATCTATCTTACTACTTTCAGTTATTTGTAGTTGTTCATTTATTGTGACCATTTTTAGCCCTTCTGTTATTTGTTCTGGTTCCTGTGCAGGCTTATCTAATGTCACATTTTTTGTTAATTTTAATACAGATTGTGATCCCAGATTTTGCCTTTTAATATTACTAGTAATTAAGCTATTTATTCTAGGGCTTTTTCTGAGAGTTTTTGACATTTGTCCTCTTTCAAGTTTCAGTTTCTTTAAAGGTGAACGTAACATTCTTTGCGGGGTGTCTCTAGAATTCAAACCGTCAATATTTACTTCAGCTTCACAGGATTCAATTTTACACAAATCAGTTTTATTTGATAAATCAGAAATAAATAATGCTTGAGTTTTAATAGACGAGGAAACAATATTACTTTTAGTGCAGCTATCGCTATTTACACCAAATTGTAAGTCATGGATTGCAATATTACTGACTTTTTCTTTATTAGTTTGAGGTACAACTTCATTTTCATTTTCTCTAGTTGACTTAGATTCATCATTCCTTGTACTTAATGTTTCAACAGTAAGACATTCTGAGGTAGATACGTTATTTTCCATATTTTCAATGACATTATTTTCTTGTGGTTTAGAAGATAATCTATTTCTGATTTGTTTTTCTAGTTTTATTTTTTCAAACTCGTCTTTTAAAAGTAACTCCTTTTTTGGCACATAAGAATTTTTTTTACAAACACCAGCTGGATTTGTTTTATTAAATGCACTTTTATTAGCACTACATTTTTCAAACTCATCTTTATTCAAGTTAAAATCCCATGATACATTCTTATTAACGGTATTGGCATCTTCATCACACACAGCACCTTTAAAGTAAATGTCTTTCCCTTGGTTTGATTTGTTTAAGGGTGGCTCATTTTCTACAGGAAATATTGGCAAATCTGGCAATCCAAAACTTTCTACTACTCTTCTTCTTGGCATAAATTTTTTTCTGTTGCCATATGTTTTAACTGGGTGTTTTCTTAAATTAATATCTGGCTTTTCATTTAATAGAGCTGATTTATCAGAAATAATCTTAAATACTTTGGTCAAATTTGTGGTTAGATCTTCATCAAACTGTTTTTCTTCTGACTGATGGACATTATCTATTCCATTTTCTTTTAATTTTGAATTACCATTTTGTAAAAATCCTTCTGTACTTAATCTATCCTGTTTAGTTTTAACACTATGTGAATTATTTTTATTTAATTTAAATTTTCTTTTACCACTGCAAGAAATATTATTTTTACTGTCTAAATTAGCAAAATTTGTCTCTCCTGTAACATGTACAAAAGATAAATTTGTGTTGTGATTAGCTTTATACTTGGAAATTAATTTTTTAGGAGTAACTTCACTGTCACTTTTACTGATCTTTTTTAAGTTTTTGGAAACGGCTTGTTTTTTGGTTTTGGTTGTTTCAAATATGTCATCAATGTTGTAATAATCTGTTGAAATTTTTGGTTTGCAGGTCCTTCCATACCGACTTTTTGATGGACTAACTGATGGGACAGTAAGCACAGAAAAGGGAAATTCAGCTTGTAAATGTTCCTGTTGGTCGATGTCTAAAGAAGATTCGTTTGTTACCTCACTTCTTTTAAATGAACCATCCATTTTAAAGAGCTTGAAATAGCAGGTTAAGTTCAATACATTAGCGTTGCTTTTCCAAAATTAACGAAGGTTATATAAAGCCGTATGTTTTGAAGACTTTTTATTTTTGACTGACCTTTCGTTTTGCGATAAACTTTACTGTAAATAAACGTCCTGTACATGGAGAGCTATTGAATTAAACTCTGACGGTTTCATGAGCTATGTACTGCTTTATGCACACAATAAGCAATTAGTAAAAAACTATACGATTTTTCCATTATAAGAAACTATCTTCAATTCTTTTAATTACACTTAAACTCACTAACCACTCTAAAAGATAGATAAAACAGTTTTTTTTATTGTGTATGTAATGCTAAATTCAATACAAATTATTATTGCCATTTCCCGCTGTATCTGTTACGAAAGGAAACCAAACTGAAGTTAGGTTTCTAAAAATCACAGAATCATAAGGATATTACCACAGAAAACGGTCTTAAAACTCCAGAAATTTGTTTCTACCGATTTACCAGGAAAAGAATTCATACATTTTATAAAGTATTAAAGTTTTGTTACAAAAACGAGAAAATTATCTATGATTTATTAGCACGAATGTTTTCATTTTTAACTGTACAAAATAAATAAAGCATTTATTTTTAACATGGAGGACCACATGGACCACAACATGGTTGAACTACAGGCACATAAACACAAGGTGTTGGTGGAGAACCAGGTGGAAGAGCCGGAACACATGGGTTTGGACATAAAAGAGACGGTACACAACAGTCCGGTGCACATGGTGGACAGCAAGGAGCTGGACAAGCAGATAACGCTGGACAAGGTGGCGAAACAGACATCTTGATGGCTAATACTTCTTATTTAAACAGTTAATAATTTTGAATAATTTTCAATTTATTTGCCAAACGCTTAATTAAACTGCAATAAAAAATTTTTATTTAATACTATGGTTACAGAATATTTTATTTTTTTACACAGATATTTTGATTTATTAGATTATATACATTCCAGACACTTCAGTGAGGTGAACTGGCTGGTGTCGATACTTGAGACACAAATATTTTAGCCATAATTTATTTTGAATTTGAGGTTAAGATCGCAAGTTAGATTTAGAAGTGTTTGTACATTGCAGTAATTCTTTTACATTTTGTTAAAATTTTCCTTAAAATGACTTCTAACAAGTCAGAAGAAAGTAGTTCTAAGAAAGCTGCTATAGATGAATTAATACAAGGAGTTGAAAATACTACAATTAATGAGTCAGAAAGTCAAAAATCAGTTGACATTAAAGATGATGTACATAGTTTTGACCACAGTGTGAAAAAGTTACTTAAAGAAAACGATCACACAGGACAAGCAAATTCAGAGTCAAATGAGGATGATACAGATATAGTAGATGATGAAATGGAAGAAAATGAAAGTGATAACTTAGTAGATGAAGAGTTTCTTAGAAATTTAGAAGTAACATTAACTCCTGAAGAACTTGAAAATAGGCATAAAGAATCTTTAAATCTTAAGGAGAAAGGGAATCAGCAATTTAAATCGGAGTTTTTTATAGAATCAGTTGAGACATATACAAAAGCTCTCCAAATATGCCCTTTAAACTTTAAATATGACAGATCAATATTTTATTGTAATAGAGCAGCTTCAAAAATTAAATTGAATAAAGTAAAAAGTGCTATTGGAGATTGTTCTAAGGCAATTGAACTTAATTCTGATTATGTACGGGCTTACATGCGAAGAGCAAAATTGTATGAAGATAGTGACAAATTGGATGAAGCCTTAGCAGATTATAAAAAAGTTTTGGAACTTGATTCTGGTAACAAAGAAGCAATAGGAGCATCTGTTCGATTGCCACCTTTAATAAATGAAAGAAATGAGAAAATGAAAGCAGAAATGTTTGGTAAGAAAAAATTGAAATATTATTGACAAAGATAAAATGTACACGGGAGCAAAGGTCTTATATTTTTTGTACATGCTATTATTACTGTGGTAAATGTTAATAGTAATAAACTGTACAAAAAGTATGAAGCCTACAATTGTGAGGGTGACCATCTATGCTTTAGAATTTTCCTTATTTACCAAACATTTTCAGGTAAATTAAAAGATTTGGGTAATATGATTTTAAGGCCATTTGGGTTATCAACTGACAATTTTCAAGTTCAACAAGATCCAAGTTCAGGAGGATATTCAATTAATTTTCAGCAATCAAGACCTAAATAAAATGCAATTAACTATTATGCTTTAATGTTAATATACTTAGAAAAATAAGCATTGTATATTATTTTCACAGTGATTAATTCTATTTGTTTTTAATAAACTTTTCTTATTTATTATAAACAGTTAGTGCCTATTAATTACCACAAATGTTTGTACTTTTGTCTTAATATCCACAATTTTTAAGGCATGTTTCATAAGAACATTGTTCTAAAATATCACAACAAAGAAACTTTATCATTTTTTAACAGGTCTGCAATTTTACTGTAAGAAAGGATAACTTGTGATCCTTCTTTTAAGTCCACTATGTCATTTTCATCACTATCATCAATAATTACACCTTCCACATTTTCCTTTGATTTAAGAAATACAAAGCTGTCAAGGTTGGGAACAACTGGATTGTTTTTCCAATCATCCGGAGGCATTCCTGGCCAAAAACTTAAGACGCTTTGGAAATGTTGCTCTATACTATTTTTATACTCTTGAGCAAATTGCAATTCACCATCACTTAAATAGGGGAGTTCGTTTTTCTCTATTCTTGTGTCTTCCTCCTTAAGTATGTGAAAAACATGTAGTTCGATTTTTTCAAGTCTAGTTCTTAAATAACTTGCAATTATATATCGAAAACGATCAATCTCTAATTGATGGACAACTTTAACTAAACTTGCTGTTTGAAGGGTTTCAATATTTTCTTCCATTGAATTGATATGTTCCAGTAAACATTCAACATATTCATATTTATAAGGGAGAATTTCTGGGGCACGAATTTCGTTTATCCAAGTTTCTTGCATTCTATCGACTAACTGAGCAGGAGTTAAATGCATCATTTCAGATTCATCCTCTTCTAATAAGATATCTTCAGATGATATATCATCCATAATTTAAATAAGGCTCTAATAATTGAATATAATTAAGATAAATGTTTTTTAATATACAATTACTTTTAGGGCTATTAATTTAATTTAATAATTCATTTTCTTTGACTTCTTTCACCAATTAACTTAGATCATAGATAATAGATACATAGAACCATAGATTAAATCTAAAACTTATCTATGGATAATATCTAAAATCATAGACAAGAGAACGATTGATCTAAAATTGTACTGATATTCCTATTATAAATCAGAGATTTATATATTTTTCTAATGTATGTGTTCATTATGTATCTATGCTTGTATATCTAATATCTATGGTATTCGTTAATTTCTATGTTGGCTCATGTCTATAGTTGGCCTTTGCCTATGTTTGGATGGTCGAGGTTATGTTGTGTACACTAAAGTAGATTCCTTACGGATGGTTTGTACAGAAAATTATTATATTTTGGATTTTAAGTAATTATTGTTCTTAATTGGTTTTTGCTTAAATATTTATCATTATTTCTATTTTGTGGACAATGTCTTTTAAAGGTAGGCTAGTAAAAGTACGTTAAAACGTTTTTAAAGTTTATTTGTTATTCTTAAATGTATCTAAATTATTCGTTACAGAACAAGTGGTTCATTGTAAATATAATAATAATTATTCAGCGGGGACTTCTAGTAACACTGAAAAATTAGCTTACAATGAAGAAGTCGTAATCCTATATATATGTGAAAAATGTGGGCAAGGTTTTCAAAATAAGGCATCTTTTAGATCACATAATAAACGAAAACATACTAGTTCTAATCATGTATGCAGTATGTGTAAAAAAATATTTACCAGAAGAAATTATTTGGAAAAACATCAAAAAAATTGTCAGAATATAAAAAAGAATAAGCTTTGTTCTCTTTGTGATTTCCGTGCATCAAGTAGTGCAGAAGTTCTTAGACATTATGAAGTGAAACATAATGTAATTATATCTGAAAAAACACTGAGTTTTAATACATTTGAAGAGTTTGAAATTTGGAAGGAAGAATTTGAAAGAAACACGAAATCGCGTTTTATAAGGAAAACTGGAACCCGACATACAGTAGATGGAGTAAACATTACAAAGTATATTTGTCACCGTGATGGTAATTTCCAATCAAAAAGCAGGGGTATCCGTCATATGAAAGCTATTGGTTCAGATAAAATCAACGCTTATTGTCCAGCAAATATTATTGTCTATGAGACAGAACAAAGTGTAAAAGTAAGTTATAGGGACACCCATATTGGCCATGAATTTGACATATGTCGTTTAAAGATTACTGCATCAGAAAGAGCAGACATTGCTCAAAAACTTGCTTTAAAAATTCCAACTAAACAAATATTAGATGAAATTCATGATTCTGCTATCAACAGTGAACTTGAGCGAGTTCATTTGGCAACTAGGAAAGATTTATGGAATATTGCGAAATCTTACAATTTAAATAATGAAGCCAAACAACAGTCTTATAAGAAAAGAAAGCAAGATGTGATAAATAAAGTTGTGAAAGTGTGTAATACGATAGAAACTGAGGAACAGTTGGAAGCTGTTTTGAAGCAAGTAGCCTCTCTAGAGAATATCATAAGTGCACTTTCCAAAAAACATAAAACAAAGTAATGTTTTTGTAACAAAAAAAATTAACCAATTAAGGAGAGATCTATCAATTCCTTAAAGAAGAAACAAGCAATTTATGTTTTATTTAATAAATAATAGAATATATTCAAAATTATTTTTAATTCCTTTTGCTTTTACTTAACATAGTAATCAGCAACCACTTCTTCTGAATTCAGAACTATATAAAACATGTTTTGAAGTGTGCTAGAGAAATAATAATGGGTTCAAATAGACAGGGACCTATCCCTGATTTGTTTCGCTGCGTTTCTATCTATTATCTATGGTTTCTATATTTAGTCGATCTCATAGACAAGGTCCATAGACAATGACAAGGTCTTTTTAAATTGTATAATACTTAACTTTTCATTGATTGTACTAATACGCGTGCGCCATTACAGTATCATACATAATAAAATGATCATAGTAAAAAATTGAAAAATTTAGTATCATTTATAGTCGTTACTAGTAAATAATATCAAAATAAACCTTGCTTACTATAACAATTAAAATAACACTCAATCAATTGGCTTATTAAATTATCATATTTTCAGTAATTTTTGAAGAAATTGACATTTAATTTCCACCTGCACCTGAAACAATTTTCCTTTTTTTTAAGAGAAGTAATGGACACACAATTATGATATTTATATATGTATAACCCACAAACGAAGCACAATTTATTGTTAAAGTTTGAATAAGTGGATTATTTATATCTGGTGCTAGCTTCACACGACTGTCATTTTGACCGCAGCCATTCCACCTATCTATAGATCAATTGTTTACCCATCGGCTAACATATGGCTAAGGCACGTCCATTATTATATGTCTGTGGCTTACCCTATGTATATCTATTACCTATGCTGCTTATGGTTTTCGGTCAGCACCCTTATTTGTGATAATACCCATAGATAAGAGCACAGAAAATATTAGAGCATGTGACACAGAAGCGACGAAATGTAACGAATATTTTACGACTTTTAACGACACTTAAAATTTTATGAGCGGTAAATAATAGCAAACGAACCAATATTTTAGGTTAATACTAATCAGCATGTTGATTGTAAAGAAACGTTTTATTAATAAATCGCGTTTTTTGTGTCGATTTTCATGGTTTAAATAAATTATTTATTTTATACACACGATTGATAGTTAAATTTTGCGCATTAAAATGGATAATATTACGTGCAATTTATGTGGAGGAGTAGAGTTTTATAAGGAAGCAGGATTTTATTACTGTAACGAATGTCAAACTCAAACGCAAGATATAAGAGAACAAGCCCAAGAAGAACAATATGCTTCACAGAAAAGTGGTAGAAAAATAAAACATAAGGCCAAACCAAGAGACGAACAGCATGTTACCAGTTGGGAATGTTACAATTACATTTTGAATGGACTTGTTAAGGAACTCATTGAGATAGGTGTTAGCCCAGAATTAAAAACGGCTGTGCGAATTCTTTGGTTTAAATTCCTAAAAGAAATCGAATTTCTTACTGAGGAAGCAGCTGATCCTCCTAAACTAGCTGCTGTTTATTCACAGACGTAATAATTTGTATAGTTATGTCAATTGCTGTTTATGTTAGGTTTTATTGTTATTGCAGTGATGCTGAGGTTGTGTATGGCAGAAAACCAAACAGGAGAAGATCCAGGAGCAGATCACCAGCATCATCATCAGATATTACTTCCACTGATACATCTAGTCGACAAAGAGAACATAAAAAACAAAGAGTAAGAAACTTTGCTTTCTCTTATTATGTTGTACAAGCATGGATGTTATTGTAGAGGGCCTTAGTTAAAGCAGAATATGATGAGCTTGCTAGCACACAATTTTCTGAAGAAATGACTTCACTTCATAATCAAAGTTTATCATCACTAAGAGGTAGTAAAGAACAAGCTAGCAAGAAGCTTATTATTCAGTTCAATAAAGAAGCAACTAAAGAATTGAAATCGTTATTAGGAGAAGATCATCTTGAAGCTCATATGAAAGACTTTTCTAGTCAGTTAGAATGTCATCCACCAGTTTATCGTTTGGTGTCAAGTTCGTACCGTCATGGAGCTGAAATTTTATCAAAAAATAAACTTTTTGCCATAATTTATTTAGGTTTATTAATTACAAAAGATAATATGCAGTTGGGAGATTTGCTTAGATACATAAGAGAAGGCCATATCAGTTACCATAAGGTAGATCATTTTCTTCCTGAAGATGTGATAGGAAAATTTACGAAACGTCATTTGCTGAGGATGAACATTCAAAATTCGCAGTTTCGGCTGCTTCACGGGGGCGTTCGAAAGATGACGGCTCATGTTGCAAAAAAAATCAACGTCGTAAAATATATTTCTGTACAAAATATCGAACACCTGATCAAGCGGTACTGCAATGAATTGAATTTACCAGGTATTAAAATTAATATATATGGAATTTGGTTAAATTTGATTGTTTACGAAAGATTATTTTAAGTTTGGATTTTTTATGTTTATTTATTGTTTATTGCCATCAAATCAAATACATAAGTTATATACAATATCAATTGATTTGCTTCGCATTTAATGCTGCAGCAATAACTAAAAATATATATATATATTTNGGTCTCGCACTAATTACTTCTAGTTATGCGGCTATGGATTTTCTGGAATTAGACTCTAACACCAGGATTTTAAAATTGTTAACAGGATACTGAAATTTCCATTAATATAACAAGATTGGTTCATTGCATGGACCAAAATGTGAATAATATGTTTTTATTAAAATTTATTTTTTTCAACATAGAATGAAAGCATCTAAAAAATCAAATTTTAGCGCATTTAGTTGTTTTGCCTATTTAAAAAGTTGAAGAAATTACATGAGAATAATCCTGTGGCAAGTTGGAAAAAATGTTTTATGGGTAAAACAAAACGAAAGTATAAAAGATGAATTTTTAAAATATTAAATATAATTTTATAGTCTAGTGTATTACCTTTTTAATCGTATTTTACGTATTAATATTAGCACTGCAGTTTGTAAAAAACATTGTTATTGAAAATTCATATTTTACTCGAAAATGCCTTCCATATTATGGGATTATATTGGGGATGATAATCAACTAAGTTAGTGATAAGGTATTAAGCGCGATTTAACTTTTGCAGTAGTCTTTTTTTGTTTTTTGTGATTTCATTAAGAGGACAATTACCATTTACATTTTCTTATTTTAAACCTTTGAGAATGAAGACAAAATTTTATTTTTATACTTTCAGACCAAAATTTAATATTAATGAAGTAGTTTTACCGTAGATATTTTTATCAAGTTCTCAGGTGATTAATACATATAATTTTTTATTTTGTTTCAGACGAAATTTGTATGTGTGCAGTAACTCTTGTTTCGCTCTTAAAACCGAGGTTGAAAATGTGGGAGCATAGTACCTTAATACCAAATTACGAAGGCAGAGCAATGGCTTTTATTATTTTTGTTTTAAAATTACTGTTCGGTTTGGACGATGAGTCTGAATTTTATCTTTCAGACGTGGCAAGGAATATCAACAAATATCATGAAAATAGTAAAATGTTTGTGTATAAAGATTGGATGGATTATATCCAATATCGAAAACTGATAGCTTCCTATTTTCATTTTCAGTCTCATATCTATTATAATAATGGCGATAATTTTAACAAGTCTGAACTTTTTATAGATTTCATGCAGAAACAAAAAAATAAGTTCGACGATGAAGAAGCAAAACTAACAACAGAACAAGAAGTTTTGAAAAGTGTACTAGAGAAACTAGAAAGGATTCAAGATAGACCGAGATCTATCCCTTATTTGTATCCATCTTTAACACCCTTTCTTTCATACATGGAGAATTTAATAAAGTCGACAGTCTTAGATGATACCAAAGTGGGTCAATATTTATTAAATAAAAAATTTAATTCGACGACTATCGAATATTTGTATTCACCATACGTTTATTTGCAAAATATATATAAAAGTGCATCGATTGGAGTGAAACATAGAGGTGTAAATAACAATCTTCACTTAAGAAAAGTGTTGAACCAAGTAGCTCAAACTCAAATGAGAAATAAGCGGGAAACGAAACCCATCTTTACAAAAATAGTAAAAGATGAGAAAGTAATAGATAAACACATCGACCAAAAGAAATCTTTTACTGAAAAAGACACTGACTTAAAAGAACAGGCAACAAAATTGTTTTTGAAACTTTTTGAAGAATATAATTTACAGAGGTTTCGAAAAAATTTAAAGAAAATGAAAAAAAATGCTTCTAAACAAGGAATCAAAATTGTTAGCCAAACTGGAAAGCGTTCTGCACATCATTCGAAAAAAGACGAGGTGGATTCACAAAGTAGTTTTCAAGAAAAACTTCACTACAACCCCTTTGAAAGATACTGGATGACAATTGCAGACGTAACAGGAATTAGAAAATCAGATTTTGAATCATTTTACAAAGGGTTGCCTTATTCTTTTCGATTGGTTTTTGAAGAGTGTGCGAGGATTATTGAACATTCGCAAAAGGAATTATATGAAGAATTCAACAATGTTGAAGTGTATGTTTTGTTTTTAGAAAATAGGGGAGTTGTAGGTAAAGAAAAGCCATTTGTATTTTCTAATGATGATTTAACTTATTTAAAAGATAAGGTATCAAGACAGTGGTGATATTAAAAATTTTTATTTTTTAAGTCAGGGTCTGGGTCTGCAACCATGAGAAAGATAATAAATATATCAATTAACACTATGTTATAAAATTTGAAATTATTTTTATGATATTAAATAAAAATTGGAGGGGATTTTTATTAGACATAATTAAAATAATTTCCAAACTTTGTTTTGTGAAGTTATACATAATTTAAATCAATAATGAGTACTATTTTAATTTAGTATAATTTTTGTAGTTAAGTAAAATTTATGCATCTCTCTCAATTTTATTTTACATCTAATATTTTGCCCTTTTGGAAAATAAAGCATGTTTCTTGCAACAAGTAACTATTCATATATGCTATAAATTTTCCTGATGTGAAGTAAAAAAAGAGGACTCCACAGAATAAGAATTATATTGAAATATCTTTCTTAGGTAAAGATAAGAGCTTATAGGATGAGTGTAATTCATAGGTATAATTGATCATTTGTGAATTAGTATCAATTATTGTCATAAATCATGTGAAAATCTGAATTTCAAAAGTACATTTCTATCAAATCACTGAAGGAAAATTAGTGAAAACTCTGGTCGGCTGCATCAAAAACGAAATTTCTATTCAAATATGAAGTATTTGTGATAATGAATAAGTGAAAATACAACTACACTGTAGTAATTTATTATTTATTATTATTATACAGCTAAACATTATAAAATACATGCTTATCAACTTTAAGGTGTAAAGAAGTGTTTATAGTTTTGCACCTTTTTGTTATGCAAACATAGAGCTTGTACTTTACTATGCACTCTTGATACATCTTGAAGTGCACTAGAGTCTTCTCCATAAAACAGGAAGAATTTCTTTAGTAATTTGGTTGCATCAAGTGCTTCCTGAAAGGTGGGTGGTTCTGATTCACCTGTTTGCAGTTGTTGTGCATCATCTTGATCTACTTCTTCTTTCTTTACTATTTCTAGAATTTCATTAATACTGACATTGCAAGTTTCCCCAATTATTGGACCATAGTTAAGTTCATGACGGTGTTTGAACTTTCCTAGCCAGCCTTCTGAAGCTTTAAAATCTTTAATACCCAGCTGTTCAGCAAACATCTTAGCTTTTGATTTTAAAATGGGCCCGGTAATTAATACATTTTTGATGCGCTGTGTTTCTAGCCATTCCACCATGGCCCGATCCAGATCTTCAAATTTTGGTTTTCTCAACTTTTTATATAAGCAACCCTGCAATTCTGCTTGTAATACCTTGTCTTTACATTTCCAGATCGTTGAAACAGTTGAAGGAGTAAGTCCATACCGTCGACCAACATCACTTTTCTTTTCACCTTGCTCTATTTCATGAATTAGTGAAATTTTCTGTTCTATCGACAGAATTTTTCGTTTATTGCCAGCCATTCGCTCACGACGAAAACTGCCATCTGAAGCTACTTTTAAATGCCTATAATGAAGCTATAAAATGGTTGCAATAATGTTTAAAAACATAGCTTATAAATGATGATATTAGAGATTATAATCTACTATCTATGGATTATAATCATAGACCATGGATCCCATAAATCACAGATTTAATTAAATTTACATTTAAATTATTTCTAAAATTGTTGTAAAGCATCAGTAAAAAGAATTTTGTAGTTAGAAATTGCCGCTGTGCATTTTTAATTTTCAACTCCTACAGACGTGGTTTTTGTTAATTAATAAATTAATTTCTCTGTTACTAAACGAACTGAAAGTACCAAAATTTAATATAGTCGTTGGTGGCTAGCAAAATCTTTTACAATACAGTGGGTTGGCTATATGACAAAATTATCATGATACCTTCTTGTCAAATTAAATGAGCGTGCTGTAGTAGATAAAGATAGAAATGTTACCTGTGATTGGAAAATACATGTACTTTCGTGAAATTTTGCTTGCAAAAGTGCAAGTTCTTAGAGACAAGAAATTTGTAAGTATCGTGTATATTTATGAGGTCGGGAATAGCATTGGTTTTTCATTTATTGTAGACTATAAACAGTATTCAAATTTTGAATTCATAATGTCGCGCCGTCTATAAAACAATAGTGGAAGGTTATAAGTAGTAGCAATGTTGTATCAGTTTTTAATATCTAAAACTAAAGAGCAACACATATATATTTAAAGTAACATACAGTGTCCTCTCTGGTATAAAAGCTGGGTTAGCATTTCTATTTCTCTTCTCTGCTCGTACTTATACTATTATTATTCAAATTACACGGAACGTGCTGCCGCCTCCGAACCGCTTGTGAACTACTCCCCAAAATATACTTAACATAGGCGTATCTGCAAACAACGAGTTGAAAGCAACTGTAGATTTATTATAAAAAATATAAATTCGTTCAATTTAGGCGCTTTACTGTTATTTTTCATTCGCTAATAATGCCTTTATAGCAATTTTACTCTTTATTCGGTACTTTTGATGTATTTAACAGTAAAATAATTGGTCTGGAATTGTAATTCCGAATGTCACTGATTTAGTAAGCACCACCCATTTCTTGAAAATTAGAGAATACGGAAGGTGCTGACATCGATGAGGAATTTATTAACTCTAGTGATAAAAAAAAACTGTACAAATAGTAAGCATAGGCGCGGTAATGAGGCGATAAGTAAGTGCAGTTAAAATATGAAATCACACAAAAATAGTTAGTATTGTATGTAATAGATCTTTTACTATTTATATTTCGAGTAAATAAAATGTTTGGAATAGATTAACAATTTTGATGCCACAAATTGACCTTTTCTTAACACGAATTTTATTTATCAAAAACGTATTTCTCTTTAAAAAAATCTTGATAACTGTTTGTACCTGAATTAATTCCATATAATAAGAATATCCAAACCTTCGAGCTTATCGTAAATATTTACTTTTATTTTAGTACATATTAGTATTCTATAAAATAACATTGTTTAATGTTATTATGCTCTGAAGATGGTCAGCTCAGTTGACGAAACACTTTCTCGAAAGTTTTTCTTAATTGTGATTTCTGAAATATTCGTTACTAATTATTTCGGATATACATATACCTGCATTAATCATTGTTGAATGCGTTTTTTCCTATTTAATATTGAAACAATATACATATTTGGCATTTGTTTATTATTAGATATCGATTTCAAGAGTTTTTTATTGTTTTTAATATTATTCCTGTAATAAATGGGGATTTTTATGCCTTTTCTCCGTGCTCCCTAAACATCTATTTGATGATTTGTAACGCCTATGAACTCGGTCTAAAATGCTTTGTAAAACTGCTTTATTACAATAATCATAATAGTAATTTGTCTCACTCTACATCGCTATTCCTCTTTTTGTCTTACAGTCTAAAAATAGCGTGCGATCTTAAGATACGGATATTGCTATTATTTAAAAAAGACGTTCGTTGAAAATAATATCGTAAATAGCAAAATACCTACATACGTATAATTACAGATTATACCAAAAACTACAGAGATTTCACGTTTCATGTTTATAAAAAACGGTTTTGATTTATTAACTTCGGTAAAATTCTTATTTTGTATTTATTTATTTAAACAAAATTTTAATACTTGTCGACGTTTCGACCATTCGAGCTGTATGGCCCTTCTCAAGACACTAAATTTTTCATATATATTAATTAAAATTAAAGTCGGTCTTTTGGACCTCTCAAAAACCTACAATTCATATAAAAGTGTAAAATAATCTTCAAATCAACAACTACAGAACAATGGCATAAGAAAAAATAGTTTTGATATTTAGTTTATTATGATTATGAAAGTTAGAACGGCTATTTTATGAATTATGTTGTTTTTGTAATTTTATCGGTAATAAGTACTAGGCAGGTGCATGATTTTCGTAATACTGCATTAAGAAATTCTTTAACAAAAATCATATCATCATCGTAAGGTCGTCAGTCCTAACACTGTCCTGAGCTAATCTTCAAATTTTTCTAAAACTGGAACATCCCACACCCTTAACTATTTGCGAACAGTAATCTAATCTAGGTCTAAATCTACTTAACTCCTGTTTCCACCTCTAATATGTCTCTAACTAGACCTTCATGCCTGAGAAGGTGTCTTATTAACCTAGCTCGCCTATTTCTTATTGACATCCATAGAGTCTTGTGTTCTCTTATTCTTTCTAATACCTCTTCATTTCTAATCTTCGCTATCCACGGTATCCTCATCATTCGCCTGCAACACCACATTTCGAACGCTTCTAACCTTTTCTTTTCCGCCCCCTCCCACCATCCATGTTTCGCACCCGTACAACGCCGCGCTCCAAACATACATCTTTAACAATCTCTTTCGAATTTCTAAATGAATCGTTCGCGAGCATAGTGACTTTTTTTANACTTATATAATTATAAATATAATTTTTATTTAATTGGTTGGAAATATTTCATTAATTCTTAGAGAGTGACTAATTGTTAGTGTCTTGGTTTTATTGGGGTATTACTTTTAAAGGCGAGTCAGTTACTATTAATTTAGAACTCGGTTAGTATAATTGAGCGCACCTATAAATTCTATTATCTATGATCGTAGGTATAGAAAGAATTTTCATCTATGGATCTTCCGGCTTTACCCTTTGTAGATCTATTATCTAAGGCACTGGAGAGCGTTGTTTGAGGCGAAGAAAATTCGCCATTTTTGCTGTCCAGAAATACAAACTACGCCTGAAGGTATTTAGTCCTAACTCCTAATCCTTATTCGACTTTAATTTAATTGTGTGGAATACGTTTCTGTTTAGTGATTAATAAGTTTCAATTATCGTTACTGAGATTTTTTTAGCGTAAATGACTTCTGCAGTATATTGGTTTCATGCTTCAACACGGGAGTCCATCGTGGCATCTTGCCTACTAATCTACTGTGAATTTTTGTAGATTCTTAATTTATTTGAAGTCGAATAATTAGGAGTTTAATTTTTAAATTATGAAAACGGGTTTACGCGATGATTGTAGGTTTGTCATATTTGTGTGATCACGCCGCGAAGAATTGTCTTCATTTTATAACCAAAATATTTCTGCCATTAAAATTCTAAATTTCTGTTAGAAAGTTTTCCATTTTGTTCTTCTCATTGTGAACATTGATTGTAACTTGTTTTTTTTTTTTCTAAGTATAGACTTGCTGTGAGGTAGCATTCGTGTATTAGATGGACAAACTACTTATGGTCTAATGTTTGCGGCAGTGAGACCTATTTCTTTTTTCATTAGACACAGGATGACAGTTATTATTAATAATAATGAATTAATATGGACAGGGCAAATCAAAAGGGGGGGAATGTGAAAAGCGGAGCCCCTCTTGAAAGGTATCTTTTTTGGAAAACCTTAATTATCTTTTTAAGTTGTATGTATTTACAAAATGGTGTGTGATTTTCCAAATCTTATATTTCATTTGTTTGGAAATAATTAATACAATAATTTTTTACTCTTCTGAATTGTAATAGTCAATTATTGAGTTGTTTGNTTCAACAGGTTGTCATTTAAACAAATTCAATGAGCATTGATATGACAAACAAGGACTCCAAACCTGAAGAAGTGTAACACCATTAGCACTCCCTCCTTTGGACTTAGGGCTGTTTGTGGAAGAGGTAAGACATCCGCAATTATTGTATTGTATATGTTTACTAAATTATTTTCAATTTTCTAAATCAGTTGTTCTATCTGTTTTGGCAATAATTACTGTAATAATTTAATTTAGGTTACTGAATTGTCAACATTAAAAAAAATATATAAATCATACTATTTTCAGGTATTGCAGTTTTTCAGAAAATACTACATGCTTCATTTCCTCATCAGTGGTTTTTTCTTTTCATAAGTGTCTACTGTTAGAGGCACTTTTCTGTTGTGAACGCTTAGGAATAAAACTGAAGCATCGTACAGTAACCCTCTAGGTACGCTTTTTTAAGTGTTAATTGCTAAGTACATGCAATACTTGATTGTCATTTTAATTTGCGAAATGCTAATATTTTCACTTTCTTTAAGGTGTGTTTAATTTTTTCCTTAGTTAATAGTGGAATTAACATAGTTTTTCGTCAATAGTATAAGTTGAGGTTATTGTGCATGTATATCTCTCGACAATTTCTATTTTTCCACAGAGTAAACTGAAATTTATCATTGATCTATGGAATTTCTTTTTAACCTCTTCCAATTGTCTGCATCATAATGACGTCGTGTTATTTGACATTTATCTATGTCGTGATCTATGGTTGTGATGCAAAATGGTGTGAAAATAACGCTTGTCACTTAATAATTTACTTGCTTTTTGGTGCGTTTATAGTTATTTTAAATGTATTTCTTAATTGATAGTGTAATTAATATGTCTTTTTGTCCATTTCTGCAGGTTATTCAACAAATGAGAGAGAATTAATGTTCAGTTTGATCATACTGAAACAGCCAATGTCTACATGGGTGTTGTCTTTTGTGGACTTTATTCTTGATTTGCTGTTTCGTCTTCGCCTTGGAACATCATGCAATTAATTTTCAACCCATGAGTGAGAGCAACCGGATATTTATTTGAATTTCACTGAAATAACAAATTTTCTGCTAGCGTATTCCTCCTGGAGCTGGTTTGCTTTTCACACCTGTAAACTTTGAAACGTTAAATTCTACAGTTAATTAAGGTGAGAATACTTGATATAATTAATTTTAATTGCTCTTTATTAATCTGTTACCACCGTATCTGTTGCAGATCGACGTTGGAGAAGACAAAGATGACCCCGTAGTTTAAATAGTTTCAATCTTGCATGCCCTATGTAGTAGAATACATCAAGTTCATTTTATTCAAATTAGTCTTATTTTGCATGTTTTTTTGTAGTTTATTTTATTTAAATTTAATTTTTATTTTGCATGCTTGTTTTTGTTCATTTTATTTGAAGTAATTGTTGATTGTAGATGTTTTTATTTTTTTTTGTATGTAGTAGTAATGTAGTAGTAGAAATAACACGTTTAGTAGTTGTAGTATAGTCTAACCTTGCTTACCTCTTCGCTTAGCTTACTGCATATTCTTCCTAATTTGCTTTGCATTTACCCTACGAGTTCTACATGATTCAACGTTTCGTTATCGTGTGTGTTTCTTCTCACCCTTGTGGAATTAGGGAGGGCCTCCCCGAACGACTTCCCTTGGGCTTAGCTATTTAGTTGATCTTAAAAGTGTCTTATACACTTTTCGCGAGTCTACTCTAGCGTTACTTCCTTTCAGACAGGGTACAGTGGGTTATCTGGAATAGGAGCAATAGGCGACTGCCCAGCTTGCCTTGGCGAAATCTGTCCGATCTTCTCTACCAAAGCTATTAGTATTTGTCGTTAGTCCTTGTAATTGCACTATTCGCTTTCAGGTAACCGAAGAAGACTGAAGACATCGTATTGTTTGCTTTTTATTGTATTTTCTTTGAAATTTCATGTGTTTTCTTGTCTTTCTCTTACAGGTATTTTGTTTTTTACTGCATAAACTGTTATATCTTTATAATCATAACTTAGGTTGATATTTAAAATGTTTCTAAATTGATTTTTTGGTATAATTGTTAAATTAAATTAATTATTTGTTTACGCTTTCAAAATTAATGTTCGTTTGGGTGGATAGGGTGGCTATAAGGGGAGATGCGGAGGCCACAGAAGGTTAGGGAGGCTTTTTTCTCCCTAATCTTGCATTTAAATAATAATGGTATGACAGTTTATGTATAATAAATGTATTTTCTTTGAAATTTTATTGATTTTCTTGTCTCTCTTACAGGTATTTTATTTTTAACTTTTATAAGTCGTTAGAATGTATTATATCTTAGATATTTTGTTTATATTGATGTATTGTTGTTATTTGAAATAAATTTGTACTTTGTTATAATAAATGTAAATTATATTTCTAAATAATAAATGTATTTTCATTGTATTATCATTCTTTAGTATTTAAATAAATAAATAAATAAAGTATGTGTTTTTAATTTTGACCTCTGTCTTGAACAACAGTAAAGAATAAAATAGCACAAATACTGTAAAAAGAAAAGAAATTGTGTCAATTTTTGAAAATTACCAGTCATGCTCAGGAGCTGAACTACTTGTAAAAAAGCTGAAGTTAATCCCGCGCTTTAATTCTGAACTTGGAAAAAGACCCAATGCAACTTCTGCTCTCCTAATACAAATGTTGGAATTTATGAAAATTTTCGGTTTTGAGCCAAATACGAGGGTTGGTCAGAAAGTATTGGAAAAATCAATAATTTGGAAAAAGATCCAATGCAACTTATGCTCTCCTAATACAAATGTTAGATTTTATGAAAATTTTCGGTTTTGAGCCAAATACGAGGGTTGGTCAGAAAGTAATGGAAAAATCAAAATTTCGAAAAAGATCCAATGCAACTTATGCTCTCCTAATACAAATGTTGGATTTTATGAAAATTTTCGGTTTTGAGCCAAATACGAGGGTTGGTCAGAAAGTAATGGAAAAATCAAAATTTCGAAAAAGATCCAATGCAACTTATGCTCTCCTAATACAAATGTTGGATTTTATGAAAATTTTCGGTTTTGAGCCAAATACGAGGGTTGGTCAGAAAGTAATGGAAAAATCAAAATTTCGAAAAAGATCCAATGCAACTTATGCTCTCCTGATACAAATGTTGGATTTTATGAAAATTTTCGGTTTTGAGCCAAATACGAGGGTTGGTCAGAAAGTAATGGAAAAAATTAAATTGGTTTTAGAAATTTTGTTTTTCCATATCTTTTCGACCGGCCCTCGTATATGACGCAAAACTGAAAATTTTGTTAAATCTGAAAATTTGTATTAGGAGAGCATAAGTCGCAAAAGGTCTTTTTAAAAGTATTTTTTGAATACTTTTTCATA